AGATTTGGGATTTGGGGTGAGTGGAATTTGGGAAATGTGGGATTTGGGGTGAGTGGAATTTGGGAGATTTGGGATTTGGGGTGAGTGGAATTTGGGAGATTTGAGATTTGGGAGGAAATGTGGGATTTGGGGTGAGTGGAATTTGGGAAATGTGGGATTTGGGGTGAGTGGAATTTGGGAAATGTGGGATTTGGGGTGAGTGGAATTTGGGAAATGTGGGATTTGGGGTGAGTGGAATTTGGGAAATGTGGGATTTGGGGTGAGTGGAATTTGGGAAATGTGGGATTTGGGGTGAGTGGAATTTGGGGAATGTGGGATTTGGGGTGAGTGGAATTTGGGAAATGTGGGATTTGGGGTGAGTGGAATTTGGGGAATTTTGGATCTGGAAGATTTGGGATTTGGGGTGAGTGGAATTTGGGGAATTTTGGATCTGGAAGATTTGGGATTTGGAATGAGTAGAATTTGAGGAATTTAGGATGTAGGGAATTTTGGAATCTAGGTAATTTGGATCCAGTAATTTGAAACCCTAAACGTCATAAAAATTCATAAAACTAAAAATTAAAATTAAAATTTGAAAATTGAAAGCCCTGTACAAAAATTTATTAGCTACTAACACAATACTATTACTGCACATAACATTATTATCACATGTGAATATCTTATATCATCTAAATAACCTAACCTAACCTAATCTAACTTCTTATTAGCTTGTACCCTTTCCGGCACACATTGCTCGATCACAAGCTTTATATCTTCATTAATTTTCCAAATATCTGTAATTCTTTTTAACCTTGATAATTTGGTTGGGGAGTTGTAAATTATTATGGTGGTTATCACGGTAAAATTATTATGATAAGACACATTATAACGACGTTTATTAATTCAACAGTTTAAGCCTGTAATTTGCGACCATTAAATTAGTACTGGCATAATCACCCGGAGATGTTCGGATATCTTGGACCTGGAACGCTTGTGAAACTAATTCGTGGGGATAAGTGCCTATATAATTTAGAACTAAGATCAGTTTATTATTAAGTTCAGTGCTTTTGTTCTTCCATTATAGTAATCGTAGCTTCTTTATGAATATCTGGATTAGGCAGGTTGGTAATTATTTTGAGAATAGAATTTTGCGTATTTATATTTCTTATTTCTAATTCTTTTATTTATATACTTACAAATGTTCAAATCTAGAAATTGTACCTTAATAATTATTAATAATTGTATATTGGTGTGATCAACACAAAATTGATTTAATCCCAGCAACTATCAATTTCTCTGTCATTCTAAAAATATTTTATTCGATCAGATTATAGTTACTTACGCAGGTGAGATAATAATTTTAAACTATTGACTTCTTTAGCATCGATCTAATCGACCCAGTTCAAGATATTATGGGAAACATTTTAAAAAGATTTCTATGAAAATGTTACTCACAAAGAACAACCTTGTCGTTGCTAGGATAATTTTAGCCGATGATATGTTCTTTTTCTAACGATAAATTATAGCCTAATTATATGTAGTCTATAAGTAGATGTCAAGCAATAATTACGTACTTTAATGTCTTGGTGTTTCGATATTAATATCAGCTACTGTGTTCTACTTCTCATATAAATTGATATACATATACATATATATATCAATTATTGATATATATAATTGATTCATATAGAGATGGGTGTTATAATTTTTCATTTATGCATTGTACATAGTCATCCATATTTTAGAAATTGAGAAATTAAATAATTGAAAAATTGAGAAAGTGAAAAATTGAAGAATTGAAGAATTGAGAAATTGAGAATTTGAAGAATTGAAGAATTGAAGAATTGAAGAATTGAAGAATTGAGAAATTGAAAAATTGAAGATTTGAAGAGTTGAAAAATTGAAAACTTGAAAACTTGAAATCGTAAAGACTTAAAAACTTGAAAACTTGAAAACTTGAAAATTTGAAATCTTAAAGACTTGAAAACTTGAAAACTTGAAAACTTGAAAACTTGAAAGCTTGAAAACTTGAAAACTTGAAAATTTGAAAACTTCAAATTTGAAAACTTGAAAACTTGAAAACTTGAAAACTTGAAAACTTGAAAACTGGTAAACTGGAAAGCTTGAAAGCTTGAAAACTTGAAAACTGGAAAACTTGAAAACTTGAAAACTTGAAAACTTGAAAACTTGAAAACTTGAAAACTTGAAAGCTTGAAAACTTGAAAACTTGAAAACTTGAAAACTTGAAAGCTTGAGAAATTGACAAATTGTGAAATTTAGACAAGTCCTAGTAAAATCACAGTTAACTTAAATTAAAGACAAAGGAAAAGTGCATGTGGGACAAATCTTAATTCTGGTGAAAATCTTGAAAACTGACAAGTAACGCGAAGGACGACCATGCGACGATTCCACGTCCACGATGTTCTATTTTCTCCGTATATTTACAAACCCAACAGCTAGAATAGCATGCTAGAAACATAAACTTTTACGACAAGAGTGAGCACACACGGAAACCTTCGATGAATCGAGATCGGTCATGAGATAATGAAGAATTGTTTAAACGACTCTAGTTGCAACGATAATACCATTAAAATATGCTAAATTAGGAAAACTCGAAAGCATTCCAAAACAGTAAAAACAAACCTCAAAATCCACCTTTCATTGAAAATAAATTTTCATCGAGAGAAATCAGTTACATAAAAATAAAATGAAATGAATATACGAACAGTTCCTAAAATGCTCCAATAAACGAAAAAATTTCAGACAAAAGTATTATCGATCCCCGTTGTATTTTTCTTCCGAAGCAGCAAGAACGATAACAGCGATTCGAGAGAAGATATTCTTACAAATTTGATTTTCGTGGAATGGATACAGTAACCCTGCAATTACATTTCACACCTGTTCCATTTCGATACGAGTAAGTCAAGAGAACGAATTCTTCGATTTCCGTTTTACCGATAGGAAACCTATCGTCGATCCGACGAACCGTTTGAATATCAATCAAACAGTTTCCCTGAAAATAAACGTTCCCCTTCTTGTTCCTGGTTTCCGTTTAATCATCGTTAATTCATTCGTCGGTCGCTACGGCAATTTTTCTACAACGAGTATTTTTCATTATGAGTCACCGTGCTGCTCGAAATAATGAGAGATTCTGCAGACGTAGAAAACCAAATATTAAGGAGGGCCAAATATTAGAAGGGGATGAGAATTGAAAAAGTATTGTATATTTTAAAGAGGTATTTTTGGACGACCTGGCCATCGAATTACCGCTTTAAATTTTCAGCACTTTTTCAGGGTGTACGGATTTGGGATATGGGGATTTTGGAATATGGGAATTTTGAGATATAGGGATTTTGGGAGGCAGGGATTTTGAGGTCCGTGGAATTCGGGATCTAGGGATTTTGGGGTCTATGGAATTTGGGATCTAGGGATTTTGGGGTCTGTGGAATTCGGGATATAGGGATTTTGGGGTCTATGGAATTTGAGGGTAATGGGATTTGGGATTTAGGGATTTTGGAGTTTATGGAATTTGGGGTCCATGGAATTTGGAATCTAGAAATTTTGGGTTCTAGGGATTTGATGATCTAGGGATTTGGGAATGTGGGAATTTAGGGATCAAGGAATTTGGAAATGTAGAGATTTGGGTATTTAGGGATTTGGGGATCTATGGAATTTGAGGTCCATGGAATTTGGGATTTAGGGATTTTGGAGTCTATGGAATTTGGGATCCATGGAATTTGGAATCTAGGGATTTTGGGGTCCATGGAATTCGGAAGCTAGGGATTTTGGGGTCAATGGAATTCGGGATCTAGGGATTTTGGGGTCTATGGAATTCGGGATCTAGGGATTTTGGGATCTATGGAATTTGGGGTCCATGGAATTCTTTTGGGGTCTATGGAATTCGGGATCTAGGGATTTTGGAATCTAGGGATTTTGGGGTCCATGGAATTCGGAATCTAGGGATTTTGGGGTCTATGGAATTTGGGGTCCATAGAATTTGGAATCTAGGAATTTGGGATCTAGGAATTTTGGGTTTTAGGGATTTGATGATCTAGGGATTTGGGAATGTGGAAACTTAGAGATCTAGGGATTTGGGAATGTGGGAATTTAGGGATCAAGGGATTTGGAAATGTAGATATTTGGGGATCCAGGGATTTGGGGATCCAGGGATTTGGGGATCTAGGGATTTGGGGCTCTAGGCATTTGGGATCTAGAGATTTCGTATCTATTTAACAATAATTTTGCATTTCCCAATTTTCCACATAGCTATAAAGTAGAAACGTAAAAAATACTAACGAAATAACATTTCTGCTTTACAGAAGGCTACGTGGAACCGTTTCCAGAGATCGGTCTCATCACAAACAATTCTTATCATATTGTTTGTATGCATGGGGCCTGTCACTGTTCATAACTGTCTTCGGGATTTTGAGCGACAAGATGGAAATTCTTCCAAATGAGCTGAGACCGAATTTTGGAGCTGAGTCCTGCTGGTTTATCAGTAAGTGAAAATTTATGATTAAATCGATAATCATATGACTTGTTACTAGTTATGACATGTCTGATGTTGATGTCCTTAAAGTATTCCAAAGAGTATTTATTTTATGCACAGTCGAAGAGTAAAGTACATGAATATTTTTAATTAAAATAAATACAAAATAACTAGTTATTATATATAACAATATTTTCAGAATGAAATTCATATACTATTTGCAAGTGTGTTCGGAATAAATTAAATTAAACAAACATGTGCAGAAGTACTATTAAATCAGAATATAACTTCAATATATAAAACCATAAATTCATATCAAATAACCAGTGAAATGTACACGATGCAATAAAACGGGTGATTTGTAGCTATTAACGGTACTAAAAAATAGAGACATTTCACAGTATGCTTTTAGCAATAATCATCGTTGCTGAAAATTTGATAAATATATCAGTTATTTTATTTGAAAAGATTTAATACAGTAACACAATTCAATATTTTTAGAGGAACAAGCGTATTTCAATGAAATATAACGCGACTAAAATTTTCGAATAGAACAGAACCAGTATGAACATACATATACCATGTATCGTAACTTAGAAGAGGTACTTGCTGAAACACTAATATTTGATATTGGATTACAGCTTCTAAAAAAAGAACGTTCGGAAGGACACCTGATAGACACGATAAATCGCGTGTTCTTGATAGATTGTTCGACAGTTCGATCGAAAAGAGCAAGAACTTCACAAGCTTTTTATACCTTGATTCCATTTCATGATAGTTTAACGCGATTTTAGAATCGTTTGTCTTCAACTTGTTAAGTGGAGATGGATTAAATTAAAAAAGGTTAAAGACGAAGAACGACAGCTACAGAGTGCGAGGATAGCGCATGCGCAGATGAGTGAGTGACAACTTCGAAGCCTAAAAAAATTTATATTCCTTAATATGAATTACTTGGAAATTACCGAGTGTGGAGTTATGGCGCGTAGAAATTTCGGCGCGTGGAAATACGGCGCGTAGAATTATGGCGCGTGGGAATTACGGCGCGTGGGAATTATGGCGCGTGGAAATTACGGAGCGTGGAAATTACGTAGCGTGGAATTATGGCACGTGAAAATTACAGTGTGTGGTATTATGGCGCGTGGGAATTTCGACGCGTAGAAATACAACGCGTGGAAATACAACGCGTGGAAATTACGGAGCGTGGAATTACGGCGCGTAGAAATTTCCACGCGTGGAAATACGGCGTGTAGATTTATGGCGCGTGGGAATTACGGCGCGTGGAAATACGGCGCGTAGAATTATGGCGCGTGGGAATTACGGCACGTGGGAATTACGGCGCGTGGAAATTACGGAGTGAAGAATATTCAGAATCACATCAGCTACCCCCCATTTCAGGAACCTAATTGCGAGACACCCTGTATATAAAGTTCTGCAATGTTTCATTCATTTTTCCATATTTGTTGTCTAATAATTAAATCTTTGCAATCGTTAATGCTATCATTGCTTTATTGCTTGCGTCAATAATTAGTTAAGTAATATTAAATAAATACAAAAAATCTTGACCACCTAGGACGTCGATTAAACGAGTTATTTTAAAGTGAAAAGTTGGGGGATGTAAAGTCAAAATTGTTTCGTGAACAGTTTAAGAACCTACGCAATAATCGAAGGAGTTCCCGAATTGCCCTAATGGCCCTTAAAAGTAACTATCGCAGTCGTTATCGTTTTTTCCCGTTTCGCACAGAATTTCTTTGGCTCACACTCCAATAGTCATTGATAAGTAAGCACCGCTTACAAAGTTTCTCGCCGTTACATTTCACTGCGAATTAGGAGTCGAACGGAAAATCGTGTGCTGCATAGGCCATTAGTCTTCCAATGGAAAGGAAATTAACTGAAGAATGATCCTCGATTTCCGATAAATTCTAATGACTTTTGTTTAACTTCGGAGCACGGCGATAAGAATGTAAGGTGAACTTGTCGGTGTTCTACTTCTTTATGGATCTTCTAGGGACTTTTGCGGTACTGTTTTCGAGATGGTAAAAGAACAAATGAATCATCATAGAAAAAACATAAGTAAAAAATAAAATTTTCTCAATTTATTTTCAATGAAATTAAATTTGAACATTTTTGGAGGATTAGTAAAAAAGTTTGTTCACAATGAAAATGATAAACTTGTATTACCTGTATTTAAATGAGCATTTAAACAAAATAATGCAACAATACAAGGGTTAATTCATGTTTTGAAGTAAACAAAATATTAGAAAAAGCAGGCAATTTGTAATTTCTGTAAATTTTGGATATGACGAAGTAAGAGATGATAATAGAAATGTTTTATTATTAATATGTTGAATATTGTGGAAATTTAACGTACTCCATTTTCATAATGCTTGTTCAGTTACATCCAGTAATTTAGTTGAGTAACGAGTCATTTACTAATTTTCCGTAGACATTAAAATTTAATCGAGTTGATACGTTTCATTAGATTTTTCTGGTCGGGTAAGACTCCCAAGGGTTGCATTTGTTTCTTTAGAGACCTTAGGCGTAACGTCATTAAGATATCCAAAGGACACATGCATTTCAGTTAATTAAATTCGTGTACTTGTTTTTAAGCTTATCGAAATTGAAAATTTATACAGATGATTTAATGTGAAAATATTAATTCAAGGTAACAAATAAATTAGCGTAGAAATAGTAATTCAAGGTAACAAATACATTAGTGTAGAAATATTACTTCAAGGTAACAATTAAATTAGTGTAGAAATATTAATTCAAGGTAACAATTAAATTAGTGTAGAAATATTAATTCAAGGTAACAAATAAATTAGTGTAGAAATATTACTTCAAGGTAACAAATAAATTAATGTAGAAATATTACTTCAAGGTAACAAATAAATTAGTGTAGAAATATTAATTTGAGTTACAAAAATAAAATTTTTAAATTTGCAATCTTCAATGTCCCAAAAGATCAAGTTTTCTTTACAAACTCCAATAAACTATAAAATCTTTAAATTTCAAATTTTCTTGAGACCTTCATCTTTTCAAACTCCTAAATTCTAAAAATCTTCCTTCAAAGCATCGATAACACATGTTCCAAACGTGAATGCCCGTAGTAATTGTTTGCAGTTACGAAAGTATTTGATGTGCAACGAATCTCGCTCTTTGACCGTTTGAAGGGTGCACGTTAATTACGCCCTCAAAAATTCGCGCAATGAGAATGTAACGAAAAGACGTATTTAGGCCACGATGAGCATCCGTTCTAAGCTTTTCTCGTCACGCAACGTTTCTTCGTCGTTACGCTAAACGAGTGTCGGCCATTCAGCTAATTACACTAATTAGTTCGTGTTGCTAGACGATGGTTTTGCACGAAATCCAACCTTAAGAGGCAAGGTCGTTAAAGCCGACCGGAGACCAAGTGTTTTATAATACAAATGTTCCCTTCCTCTTTCTTGCTTTCGCCATCTGAGATTTTATTATAAGGCGAGGTTACTTAACCCCACACTCGTTGCAACCCCTTTTACCTTCATTTTTTGTGCGATTCAAATTTTATTGCAAATATTCGTTTGGGGGTTGTATTCGACTTTTCATACTTTTTAGGTTAGGTAGTCAAGGTGTATCAAACATATAAAATGCTATAAATTATTAAAGTAAATAGGAGTATGTAATGAGCTACGACATATGTACATATGTATAATGTACATATGTACATTATATCATAACTCAACTTACTTCATATGTACACTGTATCATAACTCAACTTACTTTATATGTACACTATATCATAACTCAACTTACTTTATATGTACATTATATCATAACTCAACTTACTTCATATGTACACTGTACCATAACTCAACTTAATAACTTCTTGAACATGTTCACTGCCACACATGTACACACAACGTACACTTTTATATATTTTGTGAATTCAGTAATGTGTTTAATGAATTAATTTTGATGGGACATATTTAACATTTCATCAGCTACCTTTATATAGGTACTCTTTAAAGTTGTATACTTTATCACCAGTATTAACTACTTGAACTACGAATAATCAATGTAACAAAATATTGTAAAAATAGTAGTATTTGCTAAACATAAAAATATTACTTCAGTCTTCAATTATAATAAAACAGAACTTCACGTAAAATCTATCATCGTGCGTATGGAATGAGAAGTGTAAAATGAAGGTGGTTTAATGAACAAAACTGGCGCGGATGTTGCAGGTCAACCAAACTTGTACGGTGATTTGCTTTTCTTCCGAGGACCAATCGCAATTCAGCTGACGTTGAACGTGGTGTTCTTCATTCTCACGTCAGAGAGGTGTAGCAAAGTGAAAGCAGAGATAAGAAGGGTTGCCGACCCATCGGATCCCAGGAGCAAACGATTTCACGCTGACAAAACTAAGTGAGTTTATCAGCCTTCTTCAAAGCGGGACTCGTTCAATTCGATAGAGATACGGGAATATATCAGGCTGCTCACTGCCATTCTTGCGAATACTCTTTTCGACTGATTGTCGGCTGATTTGGTTGAGACAGCTTCTGTATTGGAGAGAATATATTCTGTTATTGTTCTATGTTATCATTGTTCTATTATCGGTTATGAAGATAGTTACGTTTTTCTTATTAATTTCTTCTTCTTCTTCTTCATAAGTGTCTGTCACCTACTTTACTTGAAAGTACGAAAATTCACAAATTTACAAATTTACAAATTTACAAATTTACAAATTTATAAATTTACAAGTTTTCAAGTTTGCAAATTTACGAATTTACCAATTTACCAATTTACCAATTTACAAATTTACCAATTTACAAATTTACCAACTTGCAAATTTACCAACTTACATTTACCAATTTACCAATTTACCAATTTACCAATTTACCAATTTACCAATTTACCAATTTACCAATTTACCAATTTACAAATTTACCAATTTACCAATTTACCAATTTACAAATTTACCAATTTACAAATTTACCAACTTACAAATTTACCAACTTACAAATTTACCAATTTACCCATTTACAAATTTACAAATTCCCAAATTCCCAAATTTACCAATTTACAAATTTACAAATTCCCAAATTTACAAGTTTTCAAGTTTGCAAATTCCCAAATTTAGGTTCATCATGAACGTGAAACTGTTCATCGTGATGGGAATATCGTGGATCGCGGAGATAATCTCTTCATTCATAAATCAATACACGAATTATACGTGGCAGGAGCAAATTTTCTACGCGACGGACGCGTTGAACTGTCTCCAGGGTGTATTGATATTTGTTCTGTTCGTGATGAAGAAAAGGGTCTATCAGGCGTTGAAGAAACGACTGAGCTTCGGCAAGCAGAAGAAAGGCTTCAGCCAAGGAACATCCACCTTGCAAGACCCATTCAAAGCGAAAATGAGCGCGAGTCAAAGCACGCTGACGTCTAGCTTCGGTGTTAGCGTAGCACCTTGAACGTACCGAGTAAAATGTATTTGACCGGCTGTATTATACAGCGAACCGAATAAAAGTGATCACTAATTCTCTGTGGAAACATAAGAAAAATTATAGAAGAGAATTTTAGCTTGTTAGTTTTCGAGGAAGTCAAGTTTCAACATTTTTTTCAATAGCATTCAGGTGATGTCGGTTAATTTTGATGTCGCTGAAGGTTGCCATAACAGTAAAGGGATCAGACTTGATTTCTTCGAAACTCGACAAAAACGTATATTTTTTCTTAGTTTTTCATAAGATATAATACTGTGTGATTCAACTTTTAAACGAATTTTTACAAACGATACGAATACGACTTTTTAATACCAAATCGAGTATCATCTTTTATTAAATACTTGAACGTTTGTTCAGTGGGAGAGATATTGTAAGAATATCAGATTTATTGGATGTGAAATAACTAATTGGAATTTTTTATTTTAATTTGATATTTGAAGTGTTACACATTTTTGTGAAGTGAGGAAATATATTTTTTGTACTGTTTGATAATTCGTCTTTTATTTTCTTATTCCTTCTTCGTAGTTTGCTTCTTTAGTCTTCAAATATTTTGTGAGCTTGTTTGCACGCACTGCGAGCTCGTTTGCGGACATCACTAGCTCGTTTGCGGCACTTACCCATCACTAGATTTGCATCATATAACATATTAAAAATCATCTAACAGATTTTTTAATGCTACTGATGAGGAGAGAAAAATAATTGTGGAAAGTTTCATATAATTAAATAATTTAAGGGAATGCATTTGTTCAATACATGTATCATGTGTGACCACATATGTTACAGCACCCCTAACGAAGGTTTAATATACTTTTTGATCAAAAAGTATCTTTTCGGCTATTTCAGCTTACATAATAATTAACAATTGTAATTTTCATCGCAAACTAAAAAATGAAATATAAAACTTGATCAAATTTCTTTTTTTTAATAAAATAACTCATGCTCATAGAATTAATTAGAAGCAAGTATGTTTAAACAACAATTTTTTTGTCCGAGTCGAAAATTCGCGCGAACATTTCACGGAAACCGGTGTAGTACCAGAAAATTATGAAACTTAACGCGAGAAATAAAACGCTTTGCCATTTATGGCCTCTTCTATTCTCTGCTTAGCAAACGCTCAAGAATTACGCGCGCGATACGCTTGGAAATTTTAATGCTATGCGCCATTTATGACACTTCGTTTAATACTCTGAATGCATTTAATTGCTAAGGAATAATTAAGGAACTGGTGTTTTTAATTTCGTTAATTCAGAACGTTACGTGAAATCTCAGGGATGATATATTTGGTTGGACTGGAAGTTACGTCACGTTTTTATATTAAAAAATTAATACAATTATTCTACTTGAGAGAATTGATTTCAAATTTTAGTGGAAGGTAGAGAAATTAATTGTAATTTTTATTTTTATTGTGTTGCATTGAGTTGTTTTATTTATAATATTGGATATATTATTGTTTATAAAAATAGACAAAAATAATGGCAATACTTTCCGATCAACCAAATACAGTTCGTATTTTATAAAATTTAAATTCTGCGTACTTCAAGTTCTTTTTATACATATTTTACATAAATAAATATTTTTACATAAATAGTTGTACGATATTTAATTTTAGTTTCAGAATATGTATAGTTACAAAATGGTCAGAATTTTATCATACAATTAATATTTTTTATAATACTCACTAATGTAGAACTAATTTGTATACCTCGAGAAAATATCCAAAGTTAAAAATGTTATTTGTAATATTTATCGATTGATAAAATTGATTTGTAGTGTTACTACAAATTAATTTATGTAAATTAATTTATAAGACTATAATTTTCAATCAATTTAAGTTCATTTAAATTAAGAATTTGAAATGTGTACCACTATACGTAATTCTATGCATAACAAAAATTATTAATTTCCTTTAAATATTAATATTAATCGAATTTTATCTAAAGATATTCGCCATACGAATTTTATACCATAAGATATGTAATTGTTGTGATCGTGAAACTTTTATACTAAATATTTTGATATTTATGTATGTGATAATGTTGACTCACACTGATTAAACAATGTATTAATAAATAAATGTAACAGAGTGCATTTCATTGTGGCAATTATTTTCTAACTTAACCAAATAATAATAATGCAGTAATTATTTGAAACTTGTCAAAAGAAACTTGTTTACAGCGAATGATTACTGTAATATTATACAAACAAGAATTAATTGCTTTTTATTAACTTCAAATTGAAATATTATCTAAAGAAAGCGTACGTGTATCGAATTTTACCAACATATCCTTACTTTTAGTTACTGATGCAAATTGAATCTGCCAATACTTTTTTACCTTACTGTACATTGAGGAATGGAAGGAACACACGTCTCAAGGAAACACGAGAGATTCACCGAACTGGGGTAGTTTGTCGTAGCAGAACACCGACTGACTACGAGACATACCATTTGCTTTGATAAGACCACCATGTTCTAGCAAATAGTAAAAGTTACTGAGAATGTAGGAAACCGATGGAAGTAACCGAAGACATCCTTTAATTAATCAGCTAATCAAAGTTAGTCAAAATTATTAACTAATTGCTCTGAAGAAAATATTTTTAGTAATGAAGATTAATGAATAATCTTCATTAAAAAATATTTCTGGTAATAAAAATAAACTACAAGTTTATAAAATTTCAGAAAAAGTAACAATATAACAATACATATACAAAATAGAATTTTACAAAGGTGCTTCCACGAAAAGAAGCTGTGAAACAAAAAGCAAAATGAAATATTGAGAGACAAAATACTGTACCAAGTATTTACTGGTTCGTAAAATTTTTTAAACAAAAGTCCGATCAATTTTCCAAATTTTTAACGTTTATATATAATTGTTAGCATCGTTGCGATAAATTGTCATAATGTAACAGATTACGATGTTAACAATATTTCGATTAAAACGAATATCCCCGAAATTACTGCAAAAATATTTCAAAGTTTCGCAAAATTGCAGGATTCTCAGTAATTTCCGCGCGTTTCAAGCTTGCAAAATCTCGACTGTCATCTTCCCCGATTATTTTACTTCGGAATATAAATAATCGATGCAACGTTTCCACGGATGCTACGAGACGAACACAAATCTTTCGAAAAAGCCGTTTATCATGCCTCCGCGAGATTTAAAACCGGCTTAAAAACTGTCGGTATTTTTTAGGATGCATTGCTTCTGCTCGATAGTCGAACATCGCGCATTGCGGAAGAGGGTGCTGAAACTTTTATCGCAATTGCTGCCAGGAATATGAAATTACAATAATTTCTGCTGAGTCGTAATTTACTCTTTGACGGGTGGATTGGTTGAGATCATCGTTTTATTGATCGTTAACTGAGACAATACGGTTTACACCTGTCGATATTTCGAAATTTCTCGGAGAGGCGTAATAAACCATGGATCACCTTGGTACACATTTGTGGAAAAATACTTTTGACATTATTGCAACTTTAGAAATTATTCGAAATTTAAATTAACATAAATTACTTGGAAATTACGGAGTGTGGAGTTATGGTGCGTAGAAATTTCGGCGCGTCGAAATACGGCGTATAGAATTATGGCGCGTGGGAATTACGGCGCGTGGAAATAC